CCCCGCCCCCCCCCCCACACACACAAAACTATAGAACCAGGCTCATAACACAGTTAAATGCTGTGCATAGAAAGCTGAGTCCCACATGCTGACTGCAGTTTAAGTCCCAGGCTTGGCAGCCTGAAAAACGCATCCAAGCATACAGGTGTGCATGTCAAAGATCCTAAGGTAATGAAGAAATGTGAGGAACGGGACTATAGCAGGACCAAGGTTCTCTCTCTTTCTCTCATACAGGTGCCCTCTGGCAATTGAAAAAAAGTTTTTAATGGGTTTACAGATAGCTTTGATTTTTCTGTTCTTATTAAGCTATTGTTCCTATAATATGTTGACTTCATAACAAGAATATTGCAGAGACTATCTCTGTAAGGTTACATGTGACATCAGGGAAAAGGAAGGATGAATGAGTAAATACTATGAAAACAGGAATGAAAAAGAGACTTTTAACAAGATCAGCTGTAATATAAATTAAATTTCATACTATTTACCATTTGCATATATTATCATTTTTTAAAAAACTTAATAATCTATGAAAGATAAAACTAGGACATTTTCAAAAATAAATCTAAGGAATCAAATTTTTTAAAAGAATTATTTATTTATTTAAATTTAATCAGGGAGAGAAAAAGAGAGGGGCAGGTGAGAAAGCAAGTTGCCAAGTCTGGGACTCGAAGCATGGGAGTCCAGTGCCTTAATCACCATGCCACCCATCAGCCCCAGGAATCAAATATTTTAATGTGAGTATTCTACTCATAAATTTCTCATACAGAATTACTAAAGTACTCAAAAAACAAACATACAAGATTCATAAAAATATAAATGAGTAACTGGTTGTTTGCATTTAGAGGATAATACGTATAATATTATAATATGGGAAAAATCCACTATTAATGTTGATTAAACATTTACTATGTACCTACTATGTGCTAGGCAGTTGTAAGAGCTAGAACCACATTCTAGCAATAGTATTCTAAAAGGACTAAAATCTTTTGTTGACAAGGATACAAACATTTGTCCTTTTGGAGTTTACATAGTGGCAGAAGCAACCAAATCACTAACAGACTGACAAATAATCAAGGGGTACAGAAAAACACACCAATGTAAGACAGCAGAGCACTTTACATTATGTATTCTTAACCCAGGCCCCAAGTGTTAATGTTTACTGGATGGTACAAATTCTAAAATATACCTCTGATTTTTGTGATGATGGCTGAAACTCATTGTTTTTTGTTTATCTTAATTTTGCCAGAGGGAAAGCTATAATTGGTCTTGTTATAGTCTACTCAATGAGAAATCATGTCCAGTACAGGTGAAAGGGTAGGGGGTTGGGATTTAAACAATGTAAAAGCAAAAGCACATTACAGAAGCTAGAAAAGCAAGTTAATCATTCTTAAGGGTATATTGCGTCCCTTCCAAAAAACAATGGAATCTTAATGGTCCCCATGTCCTTGGGCAAGGTCCGGGGACCAATGATTGTGACCCAAGGCATTCAGGAGTGGAGTTTCAGTCTAAGAAGTCGATTTTATCTACGTTAGTAAGAATGAGATGGCCAAGAGGGGGTATAAAAATTCAAAATGGAGGCACTTCTCCAAGATGGAGTCGTTAACCTGTTTAATTCTAATGACAGAGAGAGCAGTCTAGGGCAAAAAAGCCCTCAAAACAGAATCTAAGTCAGAAATTTAACATTACTTATCAATATTTTAGTTTTCTATAAACACTAATCTGAAAAGTGTTCCAGGCTGCCAAGATATCATAAGTCCAAGAGAAAAAAAAGGCTGATGGTTATCAATTTAACATGAAGTAAAAGTAGTTATAACTTTATCATAGAGATTTCATGAAAAGGCTAATGACACTAATTCTTGACCTAAAATTATAGCAATGTTAACAGAAACACCTATTTGATGAAATTAGGTTCCTTAAAACCTCTAACATCTGAAATTTAGACCCTAAAAATAGTATTTACTGTCAGTGTGTGTGTGTGTGTGTGTGTGTGTGTGTGTGTATATATATATATATAGTGGATTTGGTGGATATATAGTGGTAATGGTAAGTCCACTGTAACAATACAAAAAGTCCTTGAGAGAACACGATCTACCTGTTAGACTGGTTACTCGGCCCCAAAATTTTGCTGCTAAAATTCTCCTATGGTCCACTATTGCAATGTCATCCTTTCCCTTCCTATCTTGGATTCGAGTCTAGGTAACCTTTCTTTATACTCTGTACTTAACTCTAATATACTTTCCCTAGCTTAATGATCTGAGAAAACCTAGAAACTACTATATGCATATTTTCTCCAGTATCCATGGCTTAGAAAGAATTCAATTTATACAAATTGAATAAAAAGCTAACGAAAAGGAATAAATGAGTGAGAACAGCTATGATTTTTTTTTTTACCAACTCACATTAAAACACAGTTTAAACAACAGTAATAAGACCAGTGTGGTAAAAGAACTGAGAAATCAATACACCTTATAAATATATACTAATTGGGACCAGCAGTTGGCTGAATGGCTATGTTGCTGGACTCCCATGTAGTCGACCGTGGTTAGAGTCCTGGACCCGGTGGCTTAAACTCATGCCAGGTGCATGTGCGTGCATACCCAAGATCCTGAGAGGAGAATGGAGGAAAAGGAATTTCGGCGTGGCCATCCCTCCTGGGGGGGTGATTTCTCACTATCTGTCTCTCTGTGTCTGTCTTTCTAGCGAGCGCACACGCCCTATAGCAAAAACCTCTCCAAAAAAAAAACGTAAACAAATAAATACATACTAATATATGAAAATACGAGGATAAAAATTTAGGGCATATCTTATTATCTTAAATTTTTTGTAGGGAGGCAGGTGGTGTGGTGGTTAAAGGTGCTGGACTCCTACATGGCTGACCACGGTTTGGGGTCTGGACCTAGCGGCTTGCTTTCTCACTTTCCCTCTCTCCCTTTCCCTGTCTCTTCTGGTCAAAAAAAAATAATTTTTAAAAAGTTTTTCAACAGGATACATGTACTTGACAGAGAGAGAAACAGAGAAAGCACTCCCAGGAGGAATGGCCACACCTCAATTCCTTTTCCTCTATTCTACTCATGGGATTTTGACACAAATGCACATGCGCCTGGTTGTGTTTTTCAAGCTGCCAAGTGTGGGACTCAAACTGCTCAGCCAGCCATGTTAAATCTAGCTGCCTCAACTAGTAGGTCATGGGAAACGTCATAACACATTTTTGCATGAAAAAATACGTCATGCCTTTTCCAACAACCCAATATTATGCCACCAGCCAGCCCACAAAGAAAAATACTTTAAAGTAGGCAACATGTTCATGTATTTGAAAAATCAAAACCAAAAGTATATATCAAAATTCCACCAACTGAGGCACTCATAAATGATTAAAATGGCAAATTCCAAGTTACATATATTTCATGATTGAAAACAAAAAGGAAAAAAAGCAAATCACCTGAACATTCCAAATGTATCAAGCCTGCTATGAAAAAAGAAACAAGAAATTGTACAGAGAAAATACTCATTCTCACACTGAATGCACCTGTCTCATTCTCCCAACACCTACAGGAAATCACTTCAATCTCATCATAGTTTTTTTTTTAATATAAGATAAATACTTCATCAATTTTCTTCCACAAAAGAAAATTCATTATATATACTTTTTTTTTTTGGAGAGGTTTTTGCTATAGGGCGCGTACACTCGCCAGACAGACAGAGAGAGACAGAGAGACAGAAAGCGAGAAATCACCCCCCAGAGGGGA